AATAACGGCTAGTAATAGGCACTATTAGCCAACAAGTCTTCTCTAGCTGGAGAGGCTTCCAAAGTTGATGGACTCTGTCAGGACCTCTGAAAAGCAGGCCACTCTATAATGGAGGTATTTAGTTCCAGACAACAAAGTTTGAAAATTTTATCTCTTATTCTTGTACAGAGATTCTGTAATTGTGTCACTTATCTAAAGATGTTCAAGAGTCCCAGGGTTCACATTATAATAGAAAACAGCATAAAGCTTTAAGACAAGCAGCTGAATTGAACATGAAAGCTGTGAGACTCCCAAAAATCTCACTTTCTCAAGAACAAATAACCTGAGAACCTGTCAGCAAGTACCTAATAGAAATGACATCCCCAATGTCAATCTGTGAAGGTTTCCTTAGGATTTAAAGAACCAAATGTTTATTACAACAAAGCCGTATTTAATACTTAGTTGCTAACTCAGCAATAGCTTACTAAAACACGTCTACTTTTTCTAAAGCTTTTAATTGATGTAAACAATTAAGGGAATTAGCAGAAGCTATCTCTTTGTGCTTTTTTCTCTGCTATCAGCTCCAGAAAGCTAACTTAAATACAGACTAATACCAGTAAGTAGGTAGCTCACACAAGCACCTCTATGCAACATTTGTGTATAGGACTGGGTTTGTTTGATTTAAAATTTGTGTTTTGTAAAAGTAAAAAAGTTTCAGTATCAGCTGCTAGTGTTCTTTGGGCCTGATAAGTCTTTACTTTTCCCTCATTTTCATAAAGCTATTCTTAATATAAATGCTTTGTTTTGAGTGAAAAAAAAAACCAAAAATAACAAAATTGAAACTAACTGCAGAGGTGTTTCAATCTAGATTTATTTGACTATCAAGACAAAAAGATGTTGAAAATAATTTTTTTTTCCAGAGTCCTACTTTTAATCACTCTGCAAACCCATTTTGTGTTAGTGGGAATTCTTCAATCGAAGTTATCCTCACGTAGCTAGTATTTTGAGTGCTGACAGCAGTTTATAGGACTAAAAGGAGGAAAACGCTTTTTTTTATTGTTAGTAGCTCTTTCTCCTTATTCATTTCCAGTGGTTATTACTTTCACCCTTACCTATGATAGCTGGAAGAAGGCCAGTGTTACTGATAAAAAGTCCAGGATGAAGTTCAGCCCTTCTGCTCAGTCTTGCAAAAATTTCTCCAAAGTTATAGGAACTCTCCATCTTATGATTATTAGCCTTAATGATATTACTAGAATCGAATACGTTACTTATTCCCATAGGAATTAGATGTCATTCTCTAAAGAGAACTTTGAATTTCAGCTAGTATTCCAATTCAAACTATGAGTCTGAATGACGCTAAGAGCAGGTAGCAAAAATAACCAGGTAATAAATTTCTTATTCTGTAGCACAACTTTTCCCCTCATTACTCAGTAATTCAACAGTAAGCAATCAGTCACAGAGGAAGTGGGCTGAAAAATGTATAGGAATGCAATTCTTGTAAAATGACAAACAAAAGGAAAGTTTTTTCCCCATATATAAATCTCTGTAAAACAGTTTATGGTTTCACTATCCTAATAAACATAGCTGACTGTAAACTGTTCTTAGATACTTGCAATAGTGACTACTGCACAGTTCACCATCTTCTCTACAGGAACTATGAGGCTTTCAACATGTAGCTTTTGGACGCAGTAAAATAATCCAAGTGGTTAAGTCATGTGTATTACCCAACAGATAGTAAGAAAGATTTGATTTGAAGGTCTGACATATTTCTTCTTGTGGCTTTGTGAACTTAACATTGTTTTGAAAAAACATGTTTACAAGAAGTTCAAATTAACTTTTCTTCCTACTGCATGGTTCAACTAAGCTTTGGTCTGGAGCAAACTACTTTTGTTTTGGAGCATTTCTCAGCTAGAATGAGGATTTTATGTCCTTAAAAATCCAGGACACATTAATCAACATCTGCATAAATAACTGTAATACCTAAGACCAAAGCTCCCAGTCATCATTAAACTGAAGAAGTCCTGTCTACTATAAATGCAGTTTAACTTGGAACTCTACTACAGTGTAAATAAACTAGACATCAACAAAAAGGCTGCTCTTGTCTCTGTTAGATACAAATTTAATCTAAAGTTTTAGCCTTTTCAGTCTGCCCTACTGCAGCTGAGAATTCTGCTGCACAGTTGATCCTAGCTATAGATAGTAAAGGAAACTTGACTCAGCTGCAGTTGTTTCAAAAGCTGTTTCAATATACGCTAAGCATCTGACTCACAATTCTGAGACTGCAAGGAGCTTCAAAATCCACAAAATCTATATATACCACACATTTTAGATATAGTTTAGATATAACTTAGCAGATTGCTTTCATGGCTGTTACAGACTGGTGCAACTTCAGTCTTTATAGTCAACTTCTCATTTTCACAGATATTTTAAAAAGTTTTTGTATTAAGACTGTAGTTTAAGAGCTTAAAATACACCAGATCTGTTTTAGAAAGATGTTTTAAATGAATAAGTAGTGATTTCATTTCATGTTGAAAAACTTAGATGAAAAGACAAAGTTAATATTTGTTAACTTACCTACTCCCAAAATTCTGCAGTTCACGTTTACTGCCTCCGATGCAGCCTCTACACACATCTTTAGAATTAATTGTAGTCTGTCTTCGTAAGTTTTAGGGTTGAGCTGGGTATACTTCTTAACTATTTCACCCTAGAAATTAAAAACAGCAAAACATGCCACATAGAAGTGTACTTAATGATGAAATTTCTCTTCAATTTGCACGTCAGCTTGAAAATGGAGAGTCATAACATCTCTCTTCTAAAAAGAATACAGATGCATTCTTAGATCATGGTCCTAGAGGCTGTTCCGTGCAAGATTTTTGACAACTCTAGGGGACAAGTTTGCAAGATTAAGCATTACGTTCTGCTTCTGTAATCAACTTCCCCTGTCTGAAATAAAATACATATTTTAAGGAACACATGGATTGTGTAAGGAAATATCACAGGAGCTACTATAACTGTTGGTAGGAGTTAACCATGATACAGCAATGCACTTAACACTATAAAGTATTTTAAAAAAGTAAGAGACTAGCAATCGCTAAAAAGGACAAAAACCCCATAGTGCTTGAAGAATAAATTGTTTCCAGTTTAACTACAGTGAAAGTTTTGCATGGTATCACAGACACTGCAATTTTACCAGCAGGAGAAGAGTCAGCTAATGTAAAATTTACTGTCCTTCCAGAAAAAACTTTTCTTCTAAGCAATTATACTTCTGAATCACTTGAAATATTTCTGGAGTACTGTGACGTATGTTATACAGGAGAGGGAGGGTCCAGCAGGAAGGGATTATTTTCAATCCTAGGAATCATGCGGTGGTAATGAAAGCATTCATTATGCATGCCTGAATCTGTGGGTACTAAGGAACTAGTCTTAATGTAACGTTACTGTTGCAAGATTAGGCCAAGAGAAGATATGCTGTTTAGTGATGGTTTTTCTCCCTATTATATCTCCAGTATTCTACAGTATATGTCAGTGAACAGGAATGTATTAGTACAACTAAGCAAAAAGGAGTAAAAAAGACAGTCTATATGTAACATGGCTGAGTCATTGTTGCCAAAATAACTAAAATAACTTAGAAAATTCCAAGACATCAATAGTTTGAGTATTACATCTCACCATCTCAGCATCACATCAGCAATAGGGTTTGGGGATTTTTATGATGTTTAGTTTCCTCTTTACTTTTGGTTTGGAGGGGGAGGGGCATCAGAGGAAGTTACTTTGGAAGCAAACATTATCAGAAGACACAACAACTTTTAAAAGGAGCTTTTGAAAACTCAGTTATTTATTAAAGAAAACTACACCTTCGCCTGTGCTATTGTATAAATTTTATTATGAAATTCTGATCCTTTTCACTCTGACTTGCTATCATTTCAACTTTCGTAAATGCCACCTCAAGCTACGCTCTGCAAAATGGACAGGACTTTTTAAAATTCATTTTTTTCCTGGCTGTGTTGGCAGAAAATTAGGTGTCAATTTTACTTCTTAAAAAATTATATTTTTAAAAGTTTTCTTTAAAATCTTCAAGATCTGCCAGACATCTTTTAAATAAATGCAAAAATTCTGGACCATATCAGGTCAATTTACATAGCCCTTCATCTTTCTGCAGGCAGCTTTTCTTTCTGGGTAAGACCTAACTGATCTAGTTATCTGAAGTATGCAGTGTAATAGTAGGTGTAATTGCCCAATACTGTTGAGAATAAAAGCCAAAGACTTCTCAACATGAGTTTTATACACATCTTTAAAGTGCTGCAGAGTTCAGGATTTTTTTATTCCCCCTCCCGCCCCCAAATGGGAAGATGGGTATCTAAATTAGTTAAAATTATTCAGTCTTAACTATCCTTTTATTTATTAGCCAGGTTAAGAATTATTTCAAATACTTTTACACCATCACCAAGTAATTTTTATCACATAAGCTTGAGGCTCACAAGGTTAAATGGAAATTTTCTGTTTTTTTTCGTTGATTGCGATCATCAGCTGATGGTCATAGGTGTATTTACTTGTTTCACTTTGCCAGTCTTCTGGCACCAGATTGATACTGATGCCGTTTGGTAGCCTCACTTACTGTTTTTTAAGACTTCAGTTTTTGCTATGTTTGCCAAGTATGAACTTTCATCTTCCTCAGTTAGCTGTCAAACATTTATCATGTTGTCTATGACTGGCAGAGCTATGCAAGCAGTGCATACTTATTAGCGCTATGACACAGGCAAAGGAAAGCTTCCTACTGTTCCATTAACAGAGAAATAGGTTGAGGAACTTCTGAGCATGGAGACCACTGAAATCATACACGAACATCTATCCATACAGCCTTTACAAGGCTGTAACTTCAAGCCTATTTCAAATGGGTTACTTTTACAGGAAGAAAGGCACTTAAGACTCAAAACCCACTCAGTCTTTAAAGTCTCTAGGAATTCTAGTGTATTTATCAAATTCTTCGTACTGTTATGATGGTGCTAAAGCATCAAGCATCCTTTTCATACATCAAAGGACACAACACAATTAAAAAAAAACAAAACACAAAAGCCCTAATAGGAATTTTAGAAGATCATCATACAACTCTAATCTACCACCTTTATCCAATGCAAGATCAACAAACTATAATTCAGCTGTTTTTACAAGACCTGTTTAAACCAGTTCCTACTATTTGGCAATGAAGACACCATACCTTTCCAAACTACCTATTCCAGCCTTTTCTTGCATTGACAGCAAGCTGGATAATAAGAAAAAATTTTAAATAATTTTCCCTTCTACTGTTTTAATACTCTACTACTTGTTCATGCACAAGTGAATCTGTTTTTTCTCTTCATGGAAGAGGCTTCTACATATCTGAAGGCTTCCCCATCCCTGCCCACTGAGTCAGTTTTCTCTTCTCTGAACTAAACAATTCTAGTTTCTTAACTTTTCCCCGTTTTCCATTATTGTTGTTTTCCTCCTGATTCTCTCTCCAGTTGGTCTACATCTCTGTTATGTGATGCATTACAGTGAACACTTGCAGTTGAGGCTCAGTACTGTCTTACTATTATGCTTCTATGCAGGAAGATACTGAGAATTTTTGATTACTGGCTGTTCTTCTCTTGAGAGATGAGATGCAAAATTCTGTATCCTGAACCCACCCACCATGAACCCACCACTTTCCCTCAGTAAATTGCTTTGCTAGATGCTGGTTGTTGCTCAAAGTGGTTCTGTGTGTCCATTACATGGCTATATAGGCAGTAGGGAATTAAGAATGCTCTTGGAACCATCTGCTTTTTTGCTTGACGTATAAAAAGTTGCAGGGTGAACTGAGTCATCTTTTATGGAGAACTAAGACATCTGAAAGTTATCATATTTTTCAAGGTCTGTACGACGTCCCACAGAGAGGGAGCAGCTAGGACCATACACCACCAAATGGGCTTTGCTAGTTTAACAGTAGCCTTAGAAGAGCAAACCAGCAGGTAAATTGTATCAGGTTTGTATTGCGAGATGCAACAAATGAGGGAAAATCTACTTTACCCTGGACAGCAAAAGCCAGTATGACTGCTTTGTTTTGGAGCTCTTTTGCATCATAAGCCTATATCCCCACTGTAGGATAGGAACAAAACCACAAAGCCCAATGGAGTTTGCAGAATGTCTAAAAGCACAACAGAATATTTACCTTCATACTGACAATTGCTACTCGGAGATTTGTTCCGCCTAGATCCACGGCCAGAGCACTCTGTGTCTCTAGAATGTGGTCAATATCTTGAGAGATATTATCTTTGACAGGAGGAAAACAGAATTTCTTTTGCAATGGCTCTTTGAGGTCAATAGATTTGAGGAACTTCAAAATCCTTGGAACTGCGTTACCATCTCCATATATTTTTGAGCTATGATATGAAAAAAAAATCAATTTAATTGGAAATAACACTGCAATCAATAAATAACAGAAGGCTTTAACACTGTGTCATTACAAAATTTTGTTATGGCTCATATGGCAATACTGCAGCTCACACTGCTTGAGTCTCTCATGGGATAGGGTAGATAGTGTCAGTAGTTTGAAGATCACGCAACAGATTGTGCACGATGGGCACTAGCTCTGTTTTGGAATACGAAACATGGAATGTAGAAAACTGGAAAGTTAACAATGCCAAAAATAAAAAATGAAGAGTTTAATGAAAAGACTCACGTAATAAAGCTTTAATATTATGGAAAGTTTATAGGTGCTGTGTGTCCACACAAGATGTACTTATCACACAGGTGACAACTACATAATAATGAACAGTACATTCATGGCAGTTTGCAATATGTAAGTCTGGTTTTAAAATATCATCATACATGGTCAGACATTTGGCATTACAGAATTCATTTTTATTACTCTGTTGAGGTTCTTAAGAAATATACTTTTGATTCTAGTTCTTAATTAGACAAGTATTATCTCGTGAAGTTTGTAAGAGCTTTTATGTTGAAGAACTGGGCATCAGTACTCTACAGCTGAAGAATAACGAAATGTATCTTGCTATAATCCTGCAGCTCCCCTGGAAGCTTGCACTCAGGGCTCTCTACGTATCATGCCTGAGGTCAATCCAGCTATAAAGTAGTATGTCCTTCAGACACGAGTCAGAAGTAGGCAGATGGGATGTTCCCTCCCATGCTGCTCCTATGATACAAGCTCTCTTAATCATGCTAGTCTAAGCTAACGTAAGAATTTTGTCCTCTTGACTTTCTGTTGGGTGTTAAATTACTAGTTATATCAAAACATTACAAGTAAAATTTTGCTCTACCAATACTAATCTGCATACTGGACATTGCGCTACGATTCTGAATGAGGCACATGAAAAACAATTTGTAACCTCAGATTACTGCATTAAAAGCACTCCAATCAAATATGATGAGCCACCTCAGAACTAAATGCCTTTTACTCTACTGCTTTAACGACCCCTCCAATGAAGCAAGATGAACGTACTTACCATGGATACTGTTTACCAAACTGCAGCTGTAGAGCATGCAGAATCTTATCCTGTGTATCAGCATCACGAACATGAAGAACATTTTCACCTAGATGATAAAAGTGAACATAATAGGACAGGTCAGCTCCTCAAATTACATTAGAGGATAAGAACTGCTTTAGAGATGATGAAATTATTATTTTTCTTTCCTCTGAGCAGGAAAGACTCCAGCCAGCTCAACATCTCTCTTCATCAGTTATACGCCTCACCTTGCTCCCAATAAAGCAATGGTGATTCCAGTGATATGCTGTCATGTGTTACAAAACACTGAGGACTAGAAGATTAGCCTTCAACAGAATCCTATTAAATTTAAAATGGACGAATGAAAACAAGGGGTAAATGGCTACTTGTGTCATATCTGTGAAATACCACAACATAATTACTTCCTGAAGTGGTGAAGAGTTCATATTTTTTAAAGTGAAATTTTAATACATGTCAAACATCAAACTAGCTATAAAGCAAAACGAATAGTTGCCTATTCTGTTAAATGGACTCCACTGCAAATGGAGACATATTTTAACTTGTCTATAGATAAAAGCCTCATTATCTTACATAAAACACACAAGCAGCATTAACATGATACAGGAATAGGCAGTGAAGCTTTAAAATGGGTCAAAAATTATGTTGCATTGATACTGCAAAATGACCTTTGTTAAGCGTTCATTTGACTTTATCCTGTGGAACGAAAAAATCTCAGAACTATGAGGAAATTAAAGTAGTTAAGCAAACATGTACCTGTTTCTCTTCCTGTCTGACGTGTCCCCAAGTTGATAACAGGTGTACCAAACGCTCCCACCTCTCTGACACCACAACTGCTGTTACCAATCATACAACCAGCATGAGCAACTAGCTGAATAAACTGGTCAAATGGGACATGCTTTACTGCCCGAAAATTTGGATGATGTTCAATGCCCTTCTTCCTCATCACCCGAACCATCTCTTTGCTTCCTACAGAAAAACAAGAGGTAGAATAAACAATTCAAGTTCTATTGTTAAACTGAAAGTCTAAACATGCAAAGGAGCTAATAGCTGTTCATTGAGTTGCCAGCTCTGAGTTGTTTTTTTCCTCTTTGTATCCTCACAGTGTAAGTTGCAGAGCTGGGCACGTAAGCCCAAGTTGGATCCCAAAACCCACTGCAAAAATCTTTTTGTAGATTTTTCAAGAGGCACTAATATTGCTTCTACATGTCACATGGTTTCCCTTCATCTTCCTCCCCACACTGAAAAGCTGAAATGTCCTCCATCAATGTGAACATGGAGCTGCAGCAGATGCACACCTGGTGCTGAGACCATCCAGCTGTTTCCATCTGGCTGGATGTTCTGGGATAAAAGAACTCCATAAGAATGAATGTATGCTTTAAAGACAATCTGTTATGTGTCCTGCTGTCATGAAGGTATTTTACTCACCTGCATCCACATTAGGGAATAGAACAAGTGTTCTCTTGTTGAAGGAGATGAGTGCATCTAGTGTCAGCTCAAACATCTTTATGGAATGCTTAATATCTGTGGTTACAGGATGTTGCAGAGCAACTATATAATCTCTGATTTTGACATCTTCACCTGTCCAAATGGAGCACCAGAAAAGGTTTTTTATTGGCATAGAGGGAGGACACACTTCCAGAACTACCAGTGTGAAAGCCTAAACAGTCAAGGCACTGAATGGGATATCTAACACATAAATTTCAATGCTGCAATAAGACTCCAGGGAGTACGAGGAGGATCTACCCTGTTATTTGCCTCTCTAAGCAAGTCTTAGAACTTTAGAGACCACTACCTAAACCCTAACAAACTGTTAACTTGTGGGCCTACATCTAAAGCTTTGCAAGACTATACCAGGATCAAAAGCCTGTTCTCACACCAGTGTAAATCTGGAATAACATGAAAGCCCTGAAGCTGCTCAGATTTTCTGTCAGTTCTCCATCCTCAAGCAAAGACTTCATTCCCATGGCTTTAAAAAAGTCAGTCATACTTGTTTTAGTACATTTGATTAAAAAAGTTTATCTGCAAAATCTTCACGTACAGATCTAAGAAGATTCCAGCTTCCTACTACACAGGTTAATGTGTCATATAAGAGATTGCTGTGTCAAAGATAAAAAGCAAACACAAAACCTCATTGTTTACAGCAATTATTTGTAACCAAATGAATATGAAAAAGCATAAGCCTTTGGCGCATGTTGCCCTGTGGCAGGGCATTCCTCAAAAGAAAGCTCATAACATAATTTCCCTTTCATTTTTTTACCTTAACCCCGGACAGCTCTGATTCTATTTAAATACATCCTTTACATCAAAATAACTGTTCATATAAGACTGTTCTGTTTTTAAATTGTTCCGCTCAAAGAAACTACCCATTTAAAGAGTTATTTTTTTGATTTGGCAAAAGGAACAGATGTGTTTACTAGGACAGATTTGTAGCTTTCCAGCTATACATGGTAGAAAACAGAGCAAAAGAAAAAGAAAACATAGAAAGAAAGAAATACTAGAAACTATTATCAAATACACTAGTTTTTTAAGAAGAAGCAGGCTGATCATCTCCAATTAAGCAAACTTAAACTTACTAATAAGAAGTCCATCTGTTTCTTTCCTGTACTTTTCTCAGACTCACTGATCAACACATCCCACAGACTGATAACCTAGTTACTGAATTTGTCTAGTGTTGAAAGTCATATGAAAAACATAAAAAGAGGACTGCTCACCTAGCCATATGCGTATAATACCCATGTAGTCCTTATTTTTGGCAGAGAGAAGCTTGTCATATGAGGGACAGCCTGCTAAAAGGATGCGGTCATGGTCTTCACACATGGCTATCAAATGCTGCTCTGCGCTCCTTGTGCAGCATACATGGTAATGGGCCAGTTTGGTGATAGCGTGTCTGATAGAGTCATCAATGGTCCCACTGACCTCCCCACCTTCAATGTGAAGAATGCGAATATTCATCAGGGCTGCAGATGTAGCCAGGGCCAAAGCATCAAATCTGTCCCCATGAACTATCATTATGTCAGGTTTCAGGCGGTTCAGGACATCTGGTAACTTGACTAATGCAAGGCCCACTGACTCCACCATAGCTGCCTCATCCTCCCCTCTCACAATGGTGTGCAATCTTGTATGAATGTCGAAGTCATCTTGTTCAATCATACGATAAGTATTACTGAAGGTAAGAGGAAAAGGGTTAGAGTAAATACAACTTGGTTTCACAGCAACATAGCTTGTTGACAAAATAACTGCATATTAAATAGTTGTACTACGTTTGAACAAAGGCCTGTTCACCACATCTCCTTCATTGAGGAAACTAGGTTTTAAGATTTTAACAGAATATTCTTGTCCATATGAATATCTCCCCTCATATTCCAAGCATCAAGTTTTTCTATACACCTTTAGTGAGGAGCCTTGCTGAATGTGTTCTAGAATTTGTTTATGTGTTTGCAGAGCCTTTTGGAGCATAGATACGGCATGATTTCCTTTCAGGAAAGGTATGGTAACTCCTCACCAATATATTGACTTTGCTGGACAAATGTATAAATACAACAGATTTGATGCAAAGCTGATGCCTGTATATTCAAGAAAAACATCTTGCAGCTAGCATCCATTTTTCAGGTTCTGTATTTGGAGCTGTATCAAGACTTAAATACTAATAGACTTAAGAAATCACTGCACAAAGAGGCCTTAAGTTCAAAGGGAACAAGCTTTCTCTAAAGAAAAAAGGTTTTCTAAACATACTGCCAGAATCATTACATAATGAGAAAGTTAAAACATTCCTTAAATACTGAGAATTGTTAGGTATTTGAAAAATGAAAGATCATACATCTGCATAAGATTACCTGTCTTCCACATTCACTAAACCTGACTTAAGTAGTCTACGCACTCTGGCTGGAATAAGAGAGAAAAATCTCAGAAGTTTTCCAATTTTGTCTTCAAAACATCTGACACATACACTGTCTTATTCAAAGGATTACACTTTTAAAGTGATTTAAATTAGATTTAATTTTCACTAAATCCACTCTGCTACTCACATTCTACAAATGAAAATCTCATGATCTGCAAGCTAAGCAAAGATAGCAAAGACTAGGAAGTGCTCCAGCTCAAGTAATGAAGCAATCTCAGATCTGTGCAACTAAAGAACACCCTATCTATCTACTTAATTCTGCTCAGTGCTGTAGCACACAGGATATATTCCTACAAGTAACTTGTCAGGTAATTTGTGGATTTTTTTTAAGAGGCAAATCCTTTTTATATGACTGAGTGAAGCAGCTTAGATTTTTATTTTATAACTGCATTATATTTCCAACTCCATTTAAAATTACCTTTCATAGAATGATAAAATGGTTTGGGTTGGAGAGACCTTAAAGATCATCCAATTCCAACCCGCCTGCCATGGGCAGGGACACGCTCCACTACACCAGGTTGCTCAAAGCCTCATCCAACCTGACCTTGAACACTTCCAGGGATGGGGCAGCCACAGCTTCTCTGGGCAACCTGTTCCAGTGCCTCACCACCCTCAGCGTGAAGACTCTCTTACTCATATCTAATCGAAATCTACTGTCTTTCAGAGACAACCACCCTTTCCTTCCTCCATAATTCTGGAAATAAGAACTTTCCTCTGTGAAAATTAAAAACTGTAGCACATTTTCGTTTGATAGTTACCAGATTCTTAGAGAAATCTGAAAGAATTGAGTTTCTCACTTCATATAGTTGTGATCCTCTTGAAGATCTCAATTACAGCATTTACACAAACTGTCTAAAATTCCAAGACTGATTGAAAAAAAAAACAAAACCAGAAATATGCAATCTCAGAAGGAGCTGCGAAATGAAATAAAATCTGAAAAAATACATTTAAAATTTTGTTGTGAACATTCATGATGACTAAGATTTTTTACCCTAACATTCCTGATGTTATTGCTAACACCCCTGAAACAGATTGGCAGAGATGGAAAAATTCACCTTACCCATAATCATCAATCAGGTGGGAACCAAGCACTACGACATCAAGCTCAAAGAACTGTGGTTCTGCCTTAATACCAAACATAATGGGCGCTAATTTTGAATAATCAGCACGGTTGCAAGTGGCAACACAAACACGAAGTTTGTGGTTATTTCCATTCTTCTCCATGACTTCCTTTTGTTTCTGTTTTGAAAGATTCTTGAAATACACTTCCTGAAATAATAGGGAAAAAATCAAAAAAAGAAGCAGCATTAACAATAATCTTTATAGCAAGTAAATGGTAATATTCATGAGCAGCATACACAAGTGCAACCCAGAATTGTGGACACATACTGACTCAACCATTGATAACAGACAACTAATACCTTACAGTACCTATCATCAGAAGATTTTAGAAAAGAACAGATTTATTTATTTACTGTTAAAACTCACTTAATTTTAATACCTCTATCTCTGTAAATATATAAAAATTCTATATAAACAATATTTATGTTTTATTTATGAAGTATTACAAAGTTCAACTGTAATTAGACAGCAAAATGACTTTTTTCTCTTCAGATGGAAACTTCCGTATAATTGGAAAAACTATTGATGAAATGAAAAGCAAATGAAAGAAAAAAATCATAAACACATAAATCGAAACACGCATAATGCAATCAACTGCTAAAAGATACATCCGCTAACAGACTCTGTGAACTAAAAGGGAAAGTTTTTGCCTGAGTCAGTTTACGTATCTGTTAAACACACTTTAGTGAGCTGAAGTGAGTTAAACATTGACTTCTAAACCTTCCATACTTTTTTGCAGGCCAAAGTACATCAAGATTTGGTTATGATAAGACAACAACTTTTGGACACAAGTAGACAAATAAAGATGATGACAATTTGGAGGCTACTGGAGAAAAAAAAGAAAGTTTCTGACAATTGCAATGTCACAGAAACTCAGTATTTTTACAAGCAACATCAACAGTTATTGTAACAAGATGTTTTCTCTAATCCGATTTTGCAGCTTGTTTAGTAGCTGATTAAACTATATAATCATTTTTAATGTTTACTTATCCTCAATTTTGCCTTGCAGTTTTTATTGTGATTTTTTTTTTTTCATTTAGCAATTGGGAAAAAAATTTTAAAGAAAATGAAAAGTCTATTAAAAAGGATACAGTAATAACTCCCAAAAATAACCAAAATTTCCTCTCCCCCCAAACAGAAATCACAAAGTTGGTAGCAGAGGATATCAGACCAGCTATTTATAAGTTTTTTGCTATCCTCCATCTGAAAATAACTGCATTTTAAGTAATTACCATCCTTTTGGTACGAAATCTAACGTTATGTCAGATTTTTACTCCAGTTTAATGGAGTAAAATTACAGATTAATGCAGGATTACTCATCTGTGACTCAGAGAAGAACCAATCTCCCTACTGGTTTTGACAGCTAGGGAAGCTCTTTCTGAGAAGCTGCTATGCAAGCATGACAATGTTGACATCCAATTTCATGCTATTTTTGTATTGCATTTAATTTTTTTTAGTAAATTTTTAAAAGAAAGGCTATTGTGACATCCCATTCTTACGAAAATTAAAAAAAAAATCAGCAACTTTTCAAAGATTTCCCTATTTTAAACAGAGAGTAGTTTAGGTCTTATCACACATAATGAAGCAATGTTTTGGTATAACAGTCATGTTTCATGATCAGGAAATCTATCCCAAGTTGTCAAAGGTAAGAAATACTTCTAGCCTCCACTTGCAATCCATTATGGCTCTGCAAAATTAAGATACGCAGTGATGCTTTTTCTAGTTTAACTTCAACAACTGTGATTCTTGATAGAGTAGTTTACATTACTTCTCAGAATAAAACTCAAGTGGCAAAAACAAAGACAGCTGCCATGGCTTAAGCTCATTAGAAATGGCATTTCTCATTTACTGAAGCAAAGCGGCTATGGCTATGCCAACCAACTTCAGTAGAATAGATACAGCCTGGAATTTCAGCATTTGATTACTATCATGACAAATTAAGCTGAGTTCTATGGATTCAGCCATAAAGTAATAGATATTATTTGGTTTACATTGAGCCCCTTCATTTGAATTTACCTTTGAACCTTACTTCAAAAATAGTATGTTAATTAATTACTGTTTTACACTTTCAAAGGGTCAAATGATAATACTTCAGGCAAATTATTTATTTCCTCATGCTGAAAACACCTGGAGTGACGTGCTGCGCTGGACTTATGTGATGGGGTTTTGATAGCAGGGAGGGATTGCAGACGTAGCCACAGTAAGTAGCTGCGACAAAATTTATTGGGCTCTAGAACCAGTCGGACTGGTTCCTGGCCAGGTCGGACCCCCATCCCCTCAGCCCAGGGCTGAGCCAGTCAGCGCCTCTGTGCGAATGCCCTATTTAAGGTGGGGACAAAGGAGCCCGAAACGTGGTTTTGATCTGCAGCGAAGAGAAGAGGGAAGTGTAGAAGTTAGTCCCTCCAGCACCCTCGTGCCCTGCCCCAGCCTCCTGGGCGGGCAGATGCCCACACTGGGCCATTGCCATCCAATGCTCCGAAGCATCCTGCTCCCTGGACATCCGCTGGATAGAGTTCATCCTGCCAGAACTGCCGAGGTTCGTTGGGCCCGGCATGGCTGCAGCAGAGAGAGAACTGAGACCTGACAGAAACAGCCACACGGACACCAGGTCAGTGAAGATGGAACAGGGGGAGGTGTGCCGGAGCTGAGATTCCCCTGCAGCCCGTGGTGAGACAGCAGGCGGCCCCCCTGCTGCCCGTGGAGATTAACGGTGGAGCAGACACTCACCCGCAGCCCGTGGAGAACCCCACAGTGGAGCAGAGACGCCTGTGCTTGAAGGAGGTCATAGAGAATTGTCTTAGTACGCTGCTGGAGACTGACGACAAGGTAGAGATGCATCTGAAATCCATGGAAAACCCCACGCTGGCGCGGGTGGCAGCTCCCTAAGAAGCCATGATTTGTGGAAAAGTCCCCCACCAGAGCAATCCAATGGGCAAGGATTGCATCCTGTGGGAAGGACTCATGTTGGAGAAGTCTGTGGACTGTCCCATGAGGAGGGTATCCATTGGAACAGGGAAAAAGAGCATAAGGAGTCCTCCTCCTTGAAGAAAGGAGTGGCAGAAACAGCATGTGATGAACTGACCTGCAACCCCCCCCCCATTCTCTGTCTGCCTGTGCCGCTGGGGGAGGAGGTAGTGCCTAGAAGTAGGGAAGGGTAATGGGAAGATGTTTTTAAGATCTGGCTTTGTTTCTTTTTATCCTGTTAATAAATTAAACTGATTTGTCCCCAAGCTGAGTCTGTTTTGCCCAGGGCCATTGTTGGTGGGTGCTCCCTTCCAGTTCTCATCTTGACCCTAGTCCTTTTGTTAGATTTTTCTCTTCTCCACCTCACCAAGGGGGAGGAGTGATCAAGGGACCTCTGGTGGCTTAGCTGCTGGCTGGGCTAAACCACAACATGAGCATATATGATGGCTGTTTTAATTGAATGTTGGCTTTCTTTATGTCCAACAGGCTTGAAGTATTTTAAATGGATGTAAGAAATTCAGTAGGTCATGTTGCAAATGTAGAGACAGTACTTTGCAGGATTTTAGACTGCGTAAAGGTAGGTCAGAAAGCATGTTATCCTGTATCGCCGAGTGAAACCTGCAACCACTGTAGCTAGATTCAGATCTAACCGAATCACTGCTGTCTCATTTCTAAACCAATCTTTTTGGAGATGGTTCTGAAGCAGGGTAGCCTGTCACTGCATATGTAAATATAGACCATCAGCGGTCAAAAGAACAGTCTATCAGCGTCCCAAGTCAGGCGAGACCTTTGGGTCTGACTCCCCCTGCCTTCTCTTGGCAGCTCAGTGAATCGAAGGGTTGTTCATCTGGCTTATCGTGGGACCCGTCACTAACAGACGAACAGGAGGTAATTTGGCCAGTGTATCAGCTCCCAAGTTAGGCGAGACCCTTGGGTCCGACTCCCCGTGCCTTCCCTTGGCAGCTCAGTGAATCAGAGGGTGACTCACCCACTTATTAGGGATCGTCACTAGTAGTACTATGGGCCAAATTCCTTATAATAAGTCAAAAGTTTCTGGAAACATATATATATATTTTATTTGTGACAGAATACAGGTTCGAGGATAGCCAGTGATAGTGACTGACTACAAAAACAACTTTAAATAAAATACTACAGTGATAATATAAACTTATTACTGATTAGTGATAATACTAAATAGCTGCAAGGTGTTAGTAACTAAGCGCACATAACACAGAGCTCTTACCCAATAGGTGTCCCTAGTGGGGGGGAGAAGGGAGGTTCAGCCCATCGACTGATCCCAGGCGTTCCGATGGGGGGGGCTTCTCCCTAACATCCCCTTTGTCTTTTGCCATTTTATATTATTTCTTTACCTTTAGGTGGAGCTCGAGTGACTCTAGTCATAAATCACTTTATTAGGATTGGTGAAAATTTCTCTCTTGAGGGGTGGAGGTGTGATTTAGTAGCTAATTCGCCATTACTGCTAAAGCAACGGTTGTGATTTGTCTTTCACTAGGCGCTCCCTCATCCCTGATAACAGGGATGAGCCGTGGTACCTCCGTATCACTCTACTCCCCATTTCAAGGATGTTGTATAGGCCTTGTTGTTGTATTGTTTCTATATATTATATTGTTTCTATAACATCTATATTCTATAGATGTTGTATTGTTTCTGGGAGCAGCAGCTGTGTCCAGCAGGCTGTGTCCGTCCTGGAAGCAGTAACTGTGTTTCACTTCAAAGTTGCTCTAATATTGCAGCCTTTGAGCTAAATTTTGCAAAGCCGTATTTTTCCAATTGTCACCAATTTCGGTTATTTTCCCACAGGTACTAATTCAAATAAGATGATCTTCAAGATGTGAAGGCCACTTCTGACATCCCTATAAGTTTGTCTTTGAAACTCCGTGAATAATGTTATTATAGTTAGAAGCAGACCTCTTACAGACTCTTCAAGTCAGCATACATGTTCTATATTATATAAACTGAGAAGCCAAAGTAAAAGGGCACAGAATAAGCATCAAAGTGAGCTTACCCACGTCTGTCTTCTCCAAGTTACCTGCCTGATCTAGAACCATCGGTTCGCCTTTAAAAAAGCAGTTACCTTTTAATTTATGCAAAGCAGAACAGTTTTCTGTTCTACTTATCTTCAAGCAGTGTCTAAAATTCTACAATGCTTCAATCCA